GTATATTCCTGAGTCTGGACGCGTCAAATCGTAGAATCCAACTTACGCCTTCCACAATTGATAAATTAACAAAAATCGGATTTCTACGATAGTGTGACAGTGGTGTACAGGGTGGTCTGGTCAGCTTTTGACGAGAAAACAACTAAATTGTGTGATATTTGACAAAATGTGACTTGAGCAGCCATCTTGTGTGCTTCATCGGTATCTGTCACAATCGCACAATTTCTAAAATTCTAATTCTTTGAACGTATGGTGTTTATTGGCATTTCTAAGGACCAGACCACCCTGTAGTGAAGTCTACCCGTGAGTACTATACCCGTGAAAACTTCATTTGTGCCATTATCGAGGCAGAAGTTGGATTCTACGAAATCGAATGTCTCTCTCGTGCATCGCGTATACATACACGGTTCCCGTTGATTGTGTGAGTGCACGGACACAGCACACGGGCCACGGAGTCTCCCCCCTTAAGTTATATGCCTCAAAATTTTCATAAAGTGTACCGTTAAGTCATTGTTAGAAGTAATCAAGTTAGCTGAAACACCCTGTATAAAAACAAAGAAACACATGTACTTGTATATAGCATTTAAAGATTAATGTTAAGAAATAGTAGGACTATTTGAGCTTAAACAACGCGACTACGTAAATAGGAAATAACGATAAAATCATACTAAGCAAAGAGTCGTAATTTTGCTACTCAACCTATGTCTACTGTAAAAAATGAATTGTTAAAGTATAAGAATATTATAAGGATTACTTTAATTTCTGAGGTGACAGTTATAGGGACACTGGGATTGCTCGCAGATTTTACTTAATTATCAACTAATTCTTCATATCTAATATATAAAACTATTTTTTTTTTTAATGACGGAGATATTAAGTAATATTATCTTCGAAACTGAGACCACTGTTACGTTAACCAACACGTAAAATTATTAAATGAAGTTACAATCGTAAAGTGGTAGTATTTGTGACATTTACCTTATTTCATAAAAATTTTTATCCTGCCTTTCAGCATAGACTTCAAGTCTGGGTCTCGAGTTACCCACGTTCGTTATCCAAGGGTTAATACACATAAGAGGTCTGTATATTTGTTTTAGGGTACAGTAAGCCCCGCTTAGAGTGTCCCAAGGATGTGATCGCGGAGCTGCCGCCCGGTCGAGACGAGGCGTTCGTGACGTTCGATCAGCCGTCGACGGATCTTGATTGGTTCCGGTACGTTCGATCGAAGCCGTCCTGGGGAACACGATTGGAGGCCAATCTGGCGCCCGGTGTGCACGAGATCACGTTCTTCGCCCGACACCCGGTATCCAAGAAGCAGGCCAGCTGCGTGTTGCGCATCATCGTCAAAGGTGATTAATTAACGCGCATTCATGAAATCAATGCGTGACACGTAAACACTCCCTTCGATCATAATCGGTATTGATCATCAAACAGAGCTATTAATCAACGGGCGATCGTGCCGGCAAGTTTGCGGTATCGAAGGCCAAGATCAGAAACAATTAATCTTCTCGAGTTAGGAGACTGCTCAGAGGAACGCTACGTGGAAATATCGCTTGCCTTCTGCCGAATAGACTTTTGAGGGATAAGGGATAAGATCGTTGTAGACATAGAATGAAACTTTTTTTTTTCTATTTCTCGACTGAACGTCTGTTTATAAAGTAGCAGGAACTCGAGCAATAAACTCATTCTTGCAGTCACTTCATTGACAGTTTTCAGGCTGGAACTCATTTTCGGCTGAAGTTGAAACCAGGTGGGGTTATTTTTTATCAACTTTCAACTAATTACTTCTATTAACTTCTCTTTTCTTAGCAACAATGTAATCTAAGGATTAGTTACCGAGATATTAACGAAAAACCCCGACCAATTAGAGCGCGAGTTTACCAGCTGAGTTCCCGCTGTAACGCTGCGTACCAATCGCAGCGCGTAGCCAACGCTACCGCGGGAACTTGACCGGCAAACTCGCGCTCTAATTGGTCGGGGTTTTCGGTTAATATCTCGGTAACTAAGCCTCAGATTACATTGTTGCTAAGGAAAAACTTGTTCCAATTCACCCCCCGAGTGCCCCATTTCCGGGTCGGACAACATTTTTGTTACACCCTGTATACAGATCAGTGGTTTACATCAATTCATGAAGCACAGCCCTTTCACTAAAATATACGAACTGTCGATATCTCTAGACGTCTCGTCAAGTGGCTAGAAAACATGCTATAAATTTTTAACGCTAGTGGTACCATCGAATTATCGATATTTATCGATAACTTTGTCGCTAGCAGTACCTCCAGTTTAACAGGCGACTGGTTTGACTTGGCCGGACTGACGTATCGCGTGTTCGCGACTAAGTACATGTGTTTCTTTGTTTTTATACAGGGTGTTTCATCTAACTTGATTACTTCGAACAATGACTTAACGGTACACTTTATGAAAATTTTGAGGCATATAACTTAAATGACATCAATGGGCACATTTTATTAAGGTACGTGCATCTTTTGTGGGTGGAAACATTTCTGAGATTTCAAGGTTACTTTGATTTTTTTAACGGAAGAACCTATTCTTGTACCGTAGATCGATAGAATATCAAAGTCTGAATAAAAATGTGTTGACCTTCGTATGTCCTAAACCTAATAGTTAACGAGATATTTAGAAAATAATTTTTAATACGTAATAGGTGCTCGAAACTCTGATACCCCTAAGCTTCAATACAGCGATTTAAATACAGTGATTATTTTGTAAATATCTCGTTAACTATTAGATTTCGGACGTATGAAAATCAACACATTTTTACTCAGAATTTGATACTCCATCGATCTATAGTACAAACAAATGGGTGCAAACAAAAAAGAAGAAATGCCTCCACCCACAAAAAATGCACGTACCTTATAAGATGTTCCCTTTGATACCATTTAAGTTCCACGCCTCAAAATTTTCATAAAGTTTTAACGCTAGTGGTACCATCGAATTATCGATAACGTTGTCGCTAGCAGTATCTCCAGTTTAACGGGCGACTGGTTTGACTTGGCCGGACAGACGTATCGCGTGTTCGCGACTAAGAACCTATTACGCGAAAGCACCCCTGCGAACTTCTTCAACTGCATTTTCTTGGCAAGTTAATGTGTCATTACGTCTTTTGCAACGGGGAGGCGTCGCGCTTAAAAAGGCTTCCCCTCCCCCCTAGTGGCCATTAACATCAGCGTCTGAAGGCGCGAAAAGGAGACCCCATTAGAAGAGACTTCAGGCGCAGGACGCGCGACGACGTTGCAGGTCGTATTTCCCCGTATGCCGTCCCGTTGCCAAGAAGGCGACGCCGCGCGGCGAAATACAGTTTGCTCGAGAGCACACGCGGTCTAGCGCAGTCGTCGTATGCAAATTTCGCATTGCGGCTCAAAGAAGTTCCCCCCTTCGTCTCCTGGAATCCCAGCCGACGGTTTAATTAAATGCGTTTCCGGGATAGGGTTCGCCACAATGCTATATAATCCACGGATCGCCGGCCCTCCACCCCCTCCCGCCAATTAGATTGTTCGACGAATTCTACCGAATGCTTGACCAATTCTTGCTGGCGAACACTAACCTCGTTCCATTAAATTCCGAAAGCTTTATACTCGCGTTTTCCGTCGACCATAACTCGTACATCCTCGATTTCATTTGAAATTCTGAGAAGTATTTTTTTTTTTTTTTTTTGGACAAATTGAACGTTTGTAATAGAAGATACGGGTGTGTTAAACGTAAGGAAAATGTCTTGGTTAATCATCAAAGGGGGAGAATGAGAGGATTATCTATATTTAGCATTAGATACACATAAATACTTTGTAATTTTTTCATTCTATTACACTGTAAATAACACTGCGTTTTGAAGTGACAAAAGCGAGTGTAGACATGGATATTGTTGTCCTTATTCCATTAGGAGACGGGAATTCTGTAAAATCAGCTCATTAGAACGGGTTATACGGGACTGACAAGGGAAGTCACCCAGATGTTACATTAGTTTTAAAAAAATAATAATCTTGCTTAAAAAATTATCTTGCTAAGAACATAAATATGTGTCAATCGCCAGAAAAATTCTGTATCGACCAGTAAGATGGTGTCAAAGTCCGTCATAACACAGCTGTGAAAAGGGATATGTATAAATAACTGCCTGTTTATAATTTTTCTGGGTTTTTAAGTTTTTTGGAATACACGTAAATATAATAACTGGGAAATAAATTTGGGGCCCAAGTACATTTTCCGATCTTAAGTGACAAGCAGATAGCGGACTTTAACTTCAATACAGCGATTTCAATACAGTGATTATTTTGTAAATATCTCGTTAACGAGATGTATTAAATATAACGGTCATTAGGTTCAGGATTTACGCAAAATTTGATACTCTATCAATTTATGGTATAAAAAATAGGTTATAACCTTGAAATCTCTGAAATGTCTCCACCCACAAAAAAATCACTTACCTTATAAGATGTGCCCCTTGGTGCCATTTAAGTTCTACGTCTGAAAATTTTGCGTAAAGTGTAAAACTAAAGTGTAAAGTTAAGTCATTATTCGAGGTAATCAAGTTAGTTGAGACACCCTGTATATTCATCATCCTGTACACAGCTGCTCGCAGTTGATTAAACGGTCCGTTACGTCGAATCGACAGTTCTCTTTGCATGACAATTAAGCGCCGCGCCTGTGCGCTCTAATATCGTGAAACTATTTTCGGGTAAAGGTGTTCTCGGCATTTACTTTGTGCCGTACCAGCAGTCCGGTTTGACGTAAATTGGACGTGAAATATAATTTACATCCGTATTTCACGTTCTGTTCGTCGAGCAGTACCGGAACTCGCTATACGTGTCAGATACAAGATTACAATTTCATTTCGCTGCTTTGTAACGAACAAGTAATTACTTGCGTGGGCGTTCCAGTACACGCTCGGTTTACTTGTAATCCACTGTTTATCGGCCGAGCGCGTGAACTTTCCACGAAAGGTGGCGGATCCGTGCTGCATTTTACAGAAAACGTTCTTTGGATGCCCGATACCCGAATTCGCGATGATTCCCCTCTGCCAGAACTAATTTACTGGAGCTAATTAAACGCGGCGGATGAAGTTTTCACTGACGGCGGGAAGTTCTCATTGGCGGCGAAAGTTTTCGGCGATGTAGTCCGAGCCGTTGCGTTAGTTGTTTCTTTCTGGCGAAAAGTAATAAAAGATCTTCGCCTTTGCTAAGTCTGCTTGAGATAAAACTTCGATAAATATTAAAATGAGGGAGCCACCTCCAATTTCGACGATTTTTTAATATGTTTTCTAGATCACCCTGAGTAGTATTGTGAATGTTTTAGTTGGGGATCGCCGTTTATAATAAAGTTAATATCAACAAAACTTTAGTAGCGTACTTTCGTAGTATTGATAAGTAAAATGACCCATGATCTTGACCTTGACATAAGTTTTTAAGGTCACCCTCCCGTGTGACTTTCAGAATGTTTTAGTTATTAAATGTATGTTTATTAAGCAGTTATTAAGAGAACAATGATAACTATTTCTTGAACTGTCTTCCACTAACTTGCCTTTTCTTCTTGATCGATCTCTAATCAACTCTGAATGACTTTTTCTCTTGAACTGTCTCCGACCAACTTTGAATGACTTTTTTTCTTGAATTATCCCTAACCAACTCTGAATGACTTTTTTTCTTGAACTGTGTCCAACCAACTCTAAAACATTATACTGATCGAAAAATGTAATTGTAATTGTGAATTGTAAGTGTAATTATCTTGTAAAATACATTGTAATTGTGAATTGCAATTGTATTTACGTAGAAATTACATTGTAATTGTAATTGTCTTGCAATTATACGAAATTGCAATTATTTTAATTGCAGCTTTTAACTACGCGCAATTACAATTACTTTAAATTGTCGTTTTTAATTACATGTAATTACAATTACCTTGTAATTATACTATTTGATTATATTGTAATTGAAATGACTTTTTAATTAAAATTACAATGTAATTGCAATAAAAGTAATTGATTACACCCAACTCTGCCGTACAGCAGCGTCAGTAATGCCCCAATTGCGTACAGTTAGGCTAAGCATTTCCTTTACACCACGCTGCAAGGAATCATTCAAATTTTATGTTAATCAAAATTCGACACAGAAGCAGAGTGTCAACAAATTTTGAACAGATGAAAACAGTACTCAAAGCTTGGGGTGGAAAATATACTTCGTCAAATATTTCACAAACTATTAATAAAAACTATTAATATATCTTTTTAAGTTCTTTTTATAAAATGTTCATTCATTTTGTCGTCATAAAAAATTTCAAACATCACAGAAAAATTGAATGTATCGTACTGAAATATGAATATTTATTCAAACATAGTACGTTATCTAATATGGTACTTATCATTAGACTGCTGCTGTTTATGCACTTGAATAAAAGCTCTAGTAGAATAAAATCTTTAATAAAAGTTGAACACCATTTTTATTATCTCCTTAGTCTAATAAAACAATTGATTATGGTAATAAGTTTTCAGTTAATTAATATTTTCCCAAATTAACGCATAAAATACAAAAAAAATAAATACAATTGAATGTATAATATTGTCGTTTCTAGTACCTATTACACTACGAAAGTTTCTTTGATCTTCCAAACGTCGCATGTATAAAACACCATCTTCATTTCTGAGTACCTTTGAAGCTTTACCAGTTCAATACATTTGAGTGCATAGTCTTTTGATTGGGTTTATTTGATTTCAGGTGGCGAGGCGCCGAAAGTTAAGGACTGTCCGAATGACATAGAGGTCACGGGGAAAAATGGGTCAGCGATCACGTGGACCGAGCCAATATTCACGGATAATGTGAAGGTGACCCGGATTAGAAGCAACGAGGTCAGCATTAGAAAGTTATAAAATACTTAATCCCTTATCGAAGTTTGAGTCCATGTCGCAATTACTGAATGTGTAACGTTGTGGATTTGGTAGAATAGAAGGAACATTGCATATTTTATTATTTTAACAGTGTGTTGACCATAATTATGCAAGTAACACACGTGCACTGTTCAAGTCAATTTAACCGAAAGCCAATATTTGATTCGTCATTAAATATTTTATTATAGAAACTTGTAGATTAGCGTAACACCAATACATACCTACATTATAACATAGGAGAACAATCAATCTGTTGCTAGGGATTTAAGAGTTGATTTCGAGTAATTTAATGCTCCTGATCCTGAACATGCTATTATTTTTTCTTGATTGGTATCAGTTTTTAAGACATGCAGATGTCTTAAATATTTATGCAAAATAAGGGAAAAAATGAAACATAGCAATTCGAATGATTTTGAGTTAATTTCATTTACGAAATGCTATAAGAAGAGATAGGATAACCACATAGAATATGGCAATAGGCTATAATTCGCGATACTTCAAGATTCATTGAGTCACCGAGGCGGTCTTTGGAAATTGCTGATAAAGTGCTAGACGTTTCCGTTCCGCCAGACCGCCAGACGGTGTCTTGAGGAAGGTCGACTAAGCGCGTGGCTTCCACGTGTTGCTGAATTGACGGTTTTCGTTCGTTCTTCCGCGAGTGAAGGTGATCAGGAAAAATGTGCAACGGAAAGAGGTTCTGAACCTATCGAATGTAACAATAGAATAAAATTGTTTCACTTGTGACTTTGTTTTCGAAAATTCGATTTGAAAAATAATCTGAAACGCATCTATTCATCACAGTGTAGTAGATAAGTAGAAACGGAATGCAATGAACAGACGCGGTAGTCTCAAATGACAAAATTTTTATTCTATATTTTCGGAACATATTCAGTTACATGACACCCTGTATACATACACATATGTACAAATATTGTCAAAAACAACATTCCTTTTCAGTACTCTTCAATTATCGAAATACTTGGTGTTTCATAAAATAGTGCATGTTAATTATTGAATTTGTAATGCTGTATATTGATCACGGTAGAAATCACTTTGCATATTTTACATTACCATGCATAGAAGTATTATTAACGTCGCTAAAAACTAAATACCTACCTTTTAATATTTTTCCATTACAATGATATTAAGTGTTTCATAAAATGGCTTGGTGAACATGAAACTGCGGATCATAGATGTGCATTTCTCTCGTTTATGGCACGGATGTATTAAACATTTTTAAGAGGAATATTCAATGGTGACAAGAGGTAATAGTTTTTAATTTTATATCAGAAATAAAAACAGAATTAAAACTAAATGCAAGCAACCTTAATGGAACGGAAGCGTCTTACACCACTGTGAGTCCTTGTTTTCCTGAAAAGACATACAATTCATAGTGATAACTATGTAACTGAATATACTAACAATAAGTTTTGTTTCATACGCCGTATTCACCAAATCATTATGTAATAGATTTTCATTTAATATGGAGTTCGAGTAACCTATTCGGAGGTTAATAGTTTAAAAATCATTTTGTTTTAAGAACTACCTACCTCATATAAGTTTATCTTATCAAAATGCACTAGTATTATTCTAAATACATAAAATATTTAATTAGTCCTTAAAACATACATACAAGCTACTGATACTTAAAAGTTAATGGCCTAATCTGTTTTCGTTTCAATTTCCTCATTCATAACTAAATTTTCCCATGTACCACATTTATAATCCATTACGAAGTGCAATACTTAGTCTAGTATTAGTAATAATAGTCATTTCATTTCAACGTATGTAGCTACCTATAAACAATGATTTATTGTATTATTTAGTAGAGTCTCGAAATGAATGACGCCGTGTTGAAACATTTATATATACATATATTGATTGCACATGAAATGATCAATTTAACGATAGGTATATTTGTCGCTATTGTTATGAATGAAAATGATCAACATAGCTCTTTTCTGTATTGTAAAATCACAGAATTTACTCTACTCCATTCAAAGTACTATCTGGAATAATAATAACATTAACTATGTTAAAGTTAATCAAAGTAGAGAATCAATCTTAGTTAAATTCGGCAATTTCCTGAAGGATAGCTAAAAGATGGACATTTAAGCCAAATTCATAAATAAATTTGATAAAGATGCATGTAAAGTTCTGCTGAAAATATTATTTAAAGATGACAACATTCAGCGAAAAGTTGAGCGTTAAAAGTATCTTTGAAGAGATACAATAATTATCTAGTGAATAAAATAGGAATGTAACATTTGTACTTAAATGAAAACTGTGTGTAGAGTCTATCTAATCATACTGTGTCTAATAAAATTCGTATCAAGTTCAATATAATACACTGCATGGCATAACTATAAAACCACCACTAAAATTTGCAATTTTTGTATATTGTGGCAAAAATAAAAACGAACCAAGTATGCCATGTCTGAAATCGTGTTAAAAAAATAATGTTTCTCCAGGAAAGGATAGAATATTCCCTAGACAAAAAGTGGTTCGTTTTTATTTTAACCACGATACGTAGGAATTGAAAATTTTAAGGTGGTTTTATAGTTATGCCATGCAGTGTATTAACTGTGCCTTTATCAAAGAATTTAAAGTAGACAGAAATGTTTCAAATTTTGTTTTTTTATACTTTTGTAGATGATACGTACATAATTATTCGCTCGGTACCTACTATTTGCACATATACGTACGCATACGTAATGTATTAATGGAATGCTAGCTATTAATTACTGATTTTCTATATCTGTTTGCGATTAATTTTCTGTCTGCACAAAGCATAACGTTCTTTAATGGAAAACATAAATTTCGACCAGTATGAAGACTGCATTGTGTTTATCAATTTCGCATCCATTTAGCATAATGTGTACAGCTTGTACAATGTACGAAACATTAACGAGTATATAAATATTGGTGTAATATTTCGATATCTGTAGTAACTGGGAACAATTTGAATCAGTTCTCACTTTTTCCGTCAACGTATAATAAATTCATACATAAACTTGTATATACCATGAATCATAAATTATAATTTACTTCACAGAATTTTGAACAACAATTTTTACTGTAAATCACATTTAAACTGTCATGTTTACCAGTTCTTGGATAAATATTCAGAACTAGACAATTTTATAATATAGAAACAAGGGTTTGTAACATAACAAAATTCACCCTTTCGGGTTTAGCGGGGCGTAATATGTCCCATTTGAATTCTCGAACTGTGTGAGATGTATCAAATCGCAGTTTCCACGTAAAACGTTAGTGGAGATGTTTTTTGTGTGAGTTTCTGTTTTATCTTAGCATTACTGTGTCTTTTTACGTCCATTTCTGTTTTTTTTTTGTGCGAGATAGTCCAGGTAAAAGGGTGCATGTATGAATTCGTTCTTATTTGAATGACACTTTCATGTTATTTTACGTCTCTACTGCTAAAGATTATTTCTGTATCATGTCCCACCTATGCTTCAAAAGATTTCATAAGAAGTGATTCTTACCACGCGTAAAAAACAATTTATAAAAGTAAAGTACTGTGAATAAAAATAACCGTTGTAAACATTTGTTTCCTTGAAAACCTATTTCTCTATTCACGACACTCAGGGTCCAGTGAAACAAATACATGCCGTATAAGATTATTAAAAAAATTCGGAAGCTCGAGAGAGAGAAGAAAAATCATCTCAATTCACATCCATTACAGACGTTTAAGAAAACGAATCTGGTTACGGAAGGGTTCAAACCTTCGAAAATGAGAAAAGTTAATTGTTGTCTGGAACTGAAATTAATTGAAATGACTACTGTTTAAAACGTAAACAGAAAACGTTTTACTAATTAATTGCTGTTTCCTTAATCACTGTAACAAACTCAAAATCTTAATTACTTATCGTATATATAATTATAATCTCCATACTTTTCAAAGCATGAACTTACAATTAGAATAGAAGCGAAAATCATAAAATAAGGGGGACTGTTAACATTTTCTCTGTTGATAAATATTGTCAAGTGAAATTAGTACCAGAAAGTGTTTGCGTTGCGAAACAAAATCTTTTTAAAACACTAACAAAACACTTGTAAAAAGACCAAAACTTCGTAAACTAAAAGTGAATGACATCGATAGCCTCTATCGATAATAATTCAGTGATTGTAACATTGTGCCTCGAGTACAGGATGAAATCATATTACAGCATGTCCTAGAATTGAGGCATCGTATTTTCAATGTTAACCGGATCCGTGTGTTAGTCTGAATTGCTCGCGGAAACTGCGGAAAGTTTGCCGAGAATTTAAACTACGCAAAGTTTACACGGGTAACAATCTATGTTTCCATGCAAATATCCTGTAACAATTTTGTTTACCAACTACTTCGCGATGGTAAGCCAGGTTTCGCAGCACGTAACACCGTACACAGAATATGAAACCGTCTCATAAATAGTGGACACCTTTTATCTTCCCGGTAAACTCTGAATCTGAAGCGCATTCTGCCCGGCGTTTCAATGGCATCAAACTTTAACTGAAACCGAAATTAGGATGGTTCAGTTTCTGGTGAGGTATGAAGAACATACCACGAAATTGTTTACTTTATATGAGGTCTATGCAAAAATTTCCCAACGCTTGTAAATAAATAGTTCTAAAAGGTACTGCATATGTGTATGTATTTAAATGGATAAATATTTACAATAAGGGAGTCACTTCTGATTTCGATGATTTTTCGATATATTGTCAAGGTTCGTGAGTAGTGTTGTGAAAATTTTAGTTGGGTGTTGTCGTTAGTAAAAAAGTTATTATCAAAAAAAGTTTAGGTAGATTAACTTACAGTGAATCATCTTTTCTCGAGTTCCTTCGAAATCTTAAGAAATATGTACAACATAGATTTCAGCGAGAAACGTAAACAGAAGCAATTCATACTAAATACGAATTTCCTCTTTTCAAGTAGAATCAGTCTTGGGTACACCACTTCAATTAGCAGCTCGTCTATTGTTTTGTAGGAGTTATAAAGAAAGTTACGTTTATTTCTTGAACTGTCCCTAACCAACTCCGATCAGTATAATGCGTCAGAGCTGGTTAGACACAGTTCAAGGAAAAAAAGTCATTCAGAGTTGGTTAGAAACGGTTCAACAACAAAAATTATTCAGAGTTGGTTTGGGTCAGTTCAAGAAATAGGTATCATTGCTCTCTTAAGGGATTATGCCTACCTATAAATTTGGAAAAAATCGATTTTTGGCTTTTAATATTTTTTACAGTACACCATTTTAGAAATATTGTTTGAAAGTTTGAAGTTGATCTGACCAAAATTGGCGGAGTTACGTCCGTTTAAAGTATGCGGCCTTGGAAGTTTCGGAGCAGATATAAAGTGGTAGAGTCCCTTTCTAGGGGTGCGTGAGTCCACGAAAATCTTTCCTAGTGGCTCCCTGTGATGAAATAGATTCGGGTTCGTTCACGACAACCTATCCCAGTGGTTCCCCGTGATGAAATAGGCACAGGTTCGTCCACGTAACAAACTCTAAAAAACCAAACTCGCCATTTTCTGAACTCTCGCAGCCGCTTAGCCCTGACTCGTAACAACTGTAATTCCAAAACACTGTGTGTCGATGTACGCGACTATGCATAGACACCTGCCTCAATATTCCTACTACGAGCACATTTTTTGCTTGAACGTTTCAGAGTCCAGGACGACGTTTCGATGTCGGAGGGCACAGGATAGAGTACGAAGCTAGCGATGAGGCTGGCTGGTCGAGCAAGTGCGTGTTCACCGTGGTCCTCCGTCAGGAGTGAATCGTGGAAAGGTATGTGAAGTAGAGATGGCGTGCAAAAATCACTAACGGTGATTTATCACAGTGATCACGGTCGTGATTTAACTTCATTTACGACCGTGATTGCGATTTTATTATCTTGAGTGAATTTGCTCACTGCGATCGTAAGTCTTTGATCTTTAAACAGAAAAACGTATTTAATGATTTTACGATGAATTACATTACTATTTGTGTTTGTAAAAATCAGTAGAAAAAACAAGAAATTTTAAAAGAATGATTTGCTAGATAACATGTGGATTATAATTTATAATCATTAATTTATTCATTATTCTTCATTGTTTCTAATTATTCCTTTACTTCATACGATATAACTCGAATTTTTGTTTTGATGTTAATATAAAATATACAGATTATGTGTCGCGTGTAAAGAACTGTTAGGTTTCTCCACCAATCAGAAACGATCACGAGAAATCACGAATCACGAACGTGATCGAATCACGAGTGATTCAGAAGTAGCAGTTCACGCCATCTCTAATGTGAACAGGTGAGCGTGCGTGCAGACGGGGGCAACGAGGGAAGGCTGAAGAAAGAAGCGCCGAAGAAAAGGAAATCCAGGTAAACCGCGAGTGGGAGGGGTGGGGAGCGGGAGAGGGAAAATGTAGCGAGGTGGAAGAATAACGATGAGGTAATGTAAATGGAAATTGTACTCTGAAGTCGTGCACGTGGCCATCCTTCAGCGTGTGTAATGGATTCTGTTTTATCCGGAGAGTTAAAGGCGCACGGGACACTAATATCTTACCGTGTTACAAATGCGTGCGTAATTTTATAGATACAAGTATCACGTTTTGGTGACAGGTAAAACATTTGAAAATCGTTAACTCCAAAAGCAGCAAAATCTAACGAGCACGTTTCAATTTGATTTTATCGTTTAACCTTTTCGTTGCAGTCGGCGTCTATAGGCGCTTAGAAAAAGATCACTTATCGGGTACTATTGTGGTGATTTGTTGATTGCTGATTTTATGCATTCATAGCCTATAGGGCGCTGTGAAATAGAAGAAGAAACAAAACTTTTATCGTGTGTAACGAAGGTCCCAATTTATTCTTAACCTAAGAAGATACTTTAGAGAAGAAAGGAATTCCTACATTTGCTCTTGCATTTATGAATTACTTTATGAAATTTCATTTTGCATTCAAATCCGCAGTCTAGTGATGTGTTATGCTACAAAGTGCTTATTATTTGCTAGATGGTATTATTCCGTTTTAAATTTTAGTGAATCGTTATCGATGACGAAATGTTTTATCGGCCATAGTGTTGTTGATCGTATAAGTGTCTACCACAGCGACAGGGTTAAGCGTATGAGAATAAACCCGTTTTGATTAAATTTCAATTTTTCTATAATGGTTAAGGAATTGAATGATGACGTATTTATAGTTTGGTAAGTTTACAAATTTACTAATTGTAGTCAAACACGTTTTTAAAGAGACTACCGATTTGCTTCACGTATAGTATAATAAAATTCGTGAAACATATTGTTACATATTTTTTAGGGTAATGGTAGCAAAGGAGGTTGTAACTAAAATTCGTAGTGATTTTAAAGGATCACTCACGCAAGGTAATTCTTGTATCAAAGCCCCCTGTTATTCCTCAAGAATGTAATGAAAATTTGTTTGTTCTGTTGTACGTACTACACTGTAAATATTAATCCTAGAATTTCACCTGATTAATAGTCATCTTTTTCAGTGGATGTAATATTAAAAATAAAATGATAATAGTAATAAAAGGTTGAGAGAATATTACTGAAGTGTGAGGTTAGTGATTTGGCAATTTTCCCAGTGGCGTTCAGAGTTTGAATGTTTAATGCACGTGAAATCGTTTAAGCTAGAAGACTGAATCACTGAAAAATAGTTATTAACCTTCACCAGAATGTACTTTAAACCTTACAAACCTTACAGATATTAACGAAAAACCGCGACCAATCAGAGCGCAAGTTTGCCAGCCGAGTTCCCGCGATAGCGTTGGTTACAAATCGCAGCGCGTAGCCACCGTTAGGGCGGGAACTCGGCTGGCAAACTCGCGCTCTGATTGGTCGGGGTTTTTCGTTAATATCTCAGTAACGAAGCCTCAGATTAAATTGTTGCTAACGAAAAACTTGTTCCAATTCACCCCCCGAGTGCCCCATTTCCGGGTCGGACAACATATTTGTTACACCCTGTATACACTTACAAGGACTAAACATTAAAATTACTTTAAAACATCAAATCCAAAGTGGATCCACTATCCCACCACCAAGTACTGACACCGAATAAACATTGATTGGGTGAATTTTCATGAAAATCTCAAGCCCCTCCGAATTCTAATTTGTCGAATCGAATCGGTTCGATTATTATTGGAAGGACGTTTAATTTGCATGCATTATGTCTCGCTGATTTTTTTCCGTTCGTTTCTTTTGACGGGGGCCAATGAACGCGCCCCGCCCCTCACGTCGCTCTGGGAATGGACTCAATTCGCAATCGACGCGCTGGCCCTGGCGACACGATCGATCGATTGATACTCCGCGATTTTTGGCGGCGATGTTCGACGGTTGAACGAAACCAGTTCGCGATTAATTACGAAACTGGTACGGTTCGTTGGGTGTCGGTTCGCGCGGTCGTTCCAGTTGACAACTGGAAACAACAATAGTTTTAATCTTGTCCGCGATCGTGTAAAGGGGCGGATCCGGGCAGTCTGGATCGAAACCTGGACGGATTTATGGAATTTACAAACACCCGCCGGAACATCAAAGCGCGGCTCGGTGTGTAACCTAATACACCTGTTTTCCGTTCCAGTGAAACAAGCTGCAATTAACGCACCTGCGAGTCTTTCACTCCACCTCGCGATTTATGTTTTGGACTAAAGGGTCGTGCTCAGTCAGAAATTTTCAAAAAATCGATTTTTCACTTTCTACATTTTCTTTAAGTACAACATCTCGGGAATAGTCTGTGCAAGTTTCAAGGTAATCCGATTAAAAATGACAGAGTTACAGGCGTTAAAAAATGAACGTTTTATATAAGTGTAAGCTTGACTTGAAACTTTAAACGCGTTTTTCTCGAAACTACATTTTTCAAACCGGTAATCAATATTTCTCGAAAAATACTGTGTCGATTTACATGAAACCTTTTGCACCTTATTTCAAATCAGAAAAACTTGTCCTCGAATGAAGGATTCTTTTGTTTGTTGCATAATTTTTTTTTAATTGACCAAAAACTAGTGATTTTTAGGTGAAAATTGCACTTTTTCAGGAAAATGTCCGCCATTGTGTTCCTAATCAGTATTTCGAAAAAGCCCACGTTCAAGGACAAGATTGGTTCTTCCATTACATAAATCTTACTGAATTTTTAATTTCAAATGAACCGTTACGAAGTTACAGTGATCACGGCAGACCACTTTTTGTGAACATACATTCGGGAGATCGCTCACCATTTATTTAGTAATAAATATTTTTAAATAAAAAAATTACCTTATAATCTAGAAACTGCAATCTTTGAAACACAAATACATTTTTTTGAAAAAGGTCTTATAGTTTTCGAGAAAAAAATTCCCGAAGAACATTCTTTTTTCGGTCTCCTGACTGAGCATGACCCCTTAACGGATGTAACCCTCGAGCTTTGCCGATTACGTTCGCTCTTTCGAACTTTTGATCACGGAGAAAGTCTTCTTTTTTTCTTTTTTTTCTTCATGGTACCTCTCTTAAATTCAAGCTCTTAGTAAATGGTCTCGAATCGGCGGTTCTTGCTTTTCGAGGCGTGTTGATTGTAAAGTCATCACAGAAAACGAAGGAAGTGCTGTAAATGTGTTAATTGGAAATTATTGTATCCTTTTGCGAGTGAATTTTGTACTAAGATTAATTATGCTAACTTATGTTAGGTATTAGGTAACATAATTTATTGTGGTATAACATTAACTCGGAAAAGAATGGAATTATTGCCGATGAACTTGAAGTAAATTGAACTTGCATTATTATATACTGCCGATTTTTATGCAAAATGACACTTTTCCAAAGTAATTCATAAGGAATGGAACAAATACAGGAATTTTCTTGTTCTGTTAAGTATCTTATTCAGTTCAAAATAAAATAGAAAACTCGTTGCATCTGACGAAAAAAATATTAGACTGTAGCGACGTCAATTTTCTGAATCGTTACTTATGTGCCTCGTGTCTCATGAAGGATTCCTTATTTATGAATATTTATATCAATGTTGAATTCGGTAGATGCTGCATAAAGGAGTGATAACCTGAATAAATTCATTTATTTTAGTTTACTTCCCAGATAACACATCACGCCTTGACGACGCCTATTTTAAGTCTATGGCGCTTTTAAGCCGTCTTCAAGGCGTCATTATGCTATCTGGGTTAATCCTGTCAAAATTGTAGCGGATATATTCATTTATTAATTGCGGTTTATAGCTTTATTGTTCATTTCTCTACTAGGTATGTATGATTTTATCAACTCCCTTATTCACTTACACACTTGCTGACAAAAGTTACGAAACTAAACACCTTTTATAACTATTATCTTTGTTGCAGTCAATTCTACATAATTAATGTACCTACGTATGGTATTTTCATACTAAGAAAAAGTTATATATGTATATCTTACACTTTACTCAAATAATTTTGTACAGAAATGAAAAGAAAAAATGTACTAGACGATTCCTGATTAATTACTTTATTTTCTCATTTTTGTCAACAGAGATAATTGTTATAAAATTTTGACAGCACTCCTCGATTAAGTTTCTTTAAATGTCAGTAATGTTTAAAATATGTGCTTCGTAGAGCTCTTGAAGGTAAGAGGGTTATCGTCACAAGTTATTTGTTCTTTTTTATGTAATTACGACGGTGTACACATATATTGTTTGTTTTCTTTTTAATCATAACATGTAAGTATTTATATTTTGTTTTCTTTATACAAAGCTGTTAATACAGTAACGTTTATGTGTTTATAGATTCATACAGTTTTTATTAACAAGTTGCCTTTGATACATGTAACATTGAATTCTTTTATACTAATAGATAGTGTTATAGTTCGTTTCTCAGATAAATAGTGTTAATTACAATATAATGTTGAAGCATATAGTGAAACATAGTCTGGTGTAAATGTACGGAGCAATATTTTACAGACCATCACGTCGAAGTACATATTAATTATTAAGAAAATTTTATTACGTTTGATAATAACAAGATTTTTGTATTAAAAAGTTAAGATCGATCCGATGGCGTTATAACTATTAATTAACAATTCTTTTGACCATTAGAAAACAAATCGCACAAGGCATTTTATTTACGAGCTTGAAATAAAATTACACAGTTGTAATAATAAATTAATATTAAATTTAATATTTTGGTTACGTTGCGTTTGCAATATCATATTACCGATATGTTGAAATTTATATAATTTATTCTCTTAATATAGTTATTTATTCATTACCTAATTAATTGCTTTCGATGTACGTTGTAAAATATGTTGAAATTATTAAACAGAAGAAGTTTATAAAAAAATCTATTTCTACGTTCACTAAAAATCATTTCTCAACGACACATACCCAATTTGTGCATATTATTTTATATTAATAATTGGAGAAAAATAAGCACCGACACAAAATTCAAGACATAGCTATTAATGTAGTAA